GTGGGAGTAATGTCGTTTTCTTGGTACTTTATGTAGATGACATATTACTTATAGGAAATGACATCCCCACATTACAAACAATAAAGGACTGGTTGTCAAAAAGCTTCACCATGAAGGATTTTGGAGAAGTGGCCTTTATACTTGGTATAAAGATTTATAGAGATAGATCCAAGAGGCTGCTGGGTTTATCTCAATCCACGTATGCTGACAAGATGCTAAAGAGGTTTAGCATGGAAGGGTCGAAAAGGGGTTTTCTTTCCGTCAGTCATGGGGTACATCTTTCCAAGGCTATGTGTCCTAAGTCACAGCCTTAGAAGGATCGCATGAGTGGAATTCCATACGCTTCGGCTATTGGATCCATCATGTATGCCATGATATGTACGAGACCAGATGTCTCATATGCTTTGAGCATTACGAGCAGATACCAGTCAGACCCTGGAGAAGGTCACTGGACAGCAGTCAAGACCATCCTTAAGTACTTGAGAAGAACTAAGGATGTGTTTCTGGTATGGTGGGGTGGATGAGCTTTCAGTGAAAGGATTCACTGATGCCAGCTTTCAGAGTGACAAAGATGACTGCAAGTCACAGTCAGGATTCGTATTCACCTTAAGTGGTGGGGCAGTGTCTTGGAAGAGTTCCAAGCAAGAGACTACAGCAGCTTCAACGATAGAAGCTGAATACATAGCTGCTTCAGAAGCGGCTAAGGAGGCTGTGTGGATCAAGAAGTTCATATCTGAACTAAGGGTGGTTCCAAGCGTGGATGAGCCCATACAGTTGCTTTGTGACAACACAAGAGCCATTGCGCTCCGCAGATATCATCTGATTAGAGAAATCATTGATAGGATGGATGTAAAGATGGATTATGTTCCCACTGATGAAAACCTAGCCGATTATCTGACAAAGGTTGTTTCTCAGAGAAAACATGATAGTCATTATGAGGCTTTGGGTATACGACTTAGGTCATATTGGCTCTAGGCCAAGTGGGAGCTTGTTAGTATATGGATGTCCTAGAGACAATCTTTTGATTAGATTAGGACATATGTGGACCTTTTATTTTGTCACAAATAAATATAAGCTCTCTTTATCCTGTTTCATATTTTGTCTCGATATTATTAATATTATATGAGTAAATGGATAAACCCCTTGGAATAGAATAGGTATCTCTTGAGTATCTGTGATGAGATCACGATCATGAGGATTCAAGTATACCAGATGTTTATTCCTAATTTTATGTTCCTAGTCTAGAGACACTGAGAATGGGGATCAGTAATCTCGGGTAAGACTAGCACAACTTATCTTCTTGTATTCGGATACAAGGTAAAGACCTCATGAGCTACAGATATGGAGATGTTTTAGCTAAAGTCGTGGGTGGACCTATAAGGGTATAGCTCGCACTGAATAGACCCACAAAGAGACTCTATGAGGAAATCTCACAAATAGTATCATTAGAGTTGTCTCTTAATATTTGGGTATGTTTTTCCTTAGACCAGAATTTTTCACCTAGACTGTGTTCTGGAAGACATGCTTTAATTGTATACCTCGTCTGCCTGAAACATGGAGACTCATAGGTATACTTTTGGGCATGTCCTGAAAGAGCACAGGCCTAGGGTGATAAGCTGAAGGAATTCGTCAAATCTCTGTGAGGGATTAGGTTATCTGTAAATCGGAGAAATCGGGATGACATTTACAGGACTCGGAAATTTATGCATAGTAAAAGTGATCATAAGGTGATCTGCCTTTAGAGTCTGTAAATTGAAGATTTCCTATTTCGAATTAAAGCTTACCCAAACCGCAAGGGTTGATACGTATCCTCACCCTAGGTTTAAAGGGAAGGTAACTGAGACGAAAAGAAATACATACGGTAACCAAATATATGCAATAGGATGATCATGTCATTAACCTAACTAGCTCTGGGGCAACAAAGCATTGCTAGTGCTCTGTGTTGTTATTAAATGGGTTGTGGGCTTGTTGGGCCCAAGCCCATTTATGTCAGTGGCTATGTTGGGCCTAATGGGTCACACACTAACACCTTATTGTCTTGATGAATATAGCGTTAAAGATATTGGGCCTAATAAAGGTTGTTAGCCCAAGAAGAAGTTTGGAAGCCCACCTAAGAAGGAAAGGGCGCATGGTACATGTAATGGGCTTGGATGGTCCAAGACATTATTAATTAATTTAATTAGTTAAATTAATTATCGAATATTTAAATTTTGAATTTGAATTTTGAATTTAAATGTTTGAATTCGAATTTGAATTGACTATGAAAAGTTGTCTCATGAGTCACAGTCAGGATAATCGATTACTCGACATGATAATCGATTACCAAAAACAGGTTAATCGATTACTCCACATGGTAACTGATTAACCATGCACAAGGTAATTGATTACCACGCGGACAGAACACAAAATCTGCAGAATTTTCTGCATAATCTGCGACTTTAATGGTTTCCAAAGGTCCAAGGTCCAATTTTTATCAAAACAGAAGTCCAACTAACATGTTTAATCATCATTCTAACATATTTTACATGCATCATTAATATTTCCACCTTTTACTTCACAAAATAGCTCATTTTCAAGAATTTACAAAGGAGATGACTTGAGGTTACCTATGGACCTTTGAACTCAGAAAATGGGCAAGCTTTGAGGACCAAGGAGGTGCTCCAAGTCACTGACTTGGTGGTGCACGAAAATCACAAGGAAAGGTTGGTTCTTTCTCTACAAAGGTTAGTTCTTGAAGCTTGAAAGTAGGTGGAAATGGCTCCAACTCCACAAAACACACAAGGATACACTCCTCACTGACCAAGTCAGCAAGCACACTCTTTCAAGATGCTCACTTTCTTCACTAACTTCACAAACTCAAGGTGTTTACATGGGTGGAATGATCAACGATGAAGAAAGAATGAATCTTAGTGCTTTTTCTTGAAGAAAGGCTTTGTCTTTCATGAAGAACAAAGGGTGGCAGAAATGAGACGATGAGAGGCTGTATCTACATGGGTGTTATAAATTCTGACCTAGGATTTAATGCCATTAGCTATTTATAGGTGCACTCACTTAAACTAACAGTATTAATTTAATTAGTTATACTCTTCGTTTAACTCTAAAATTTTATATTCTTAACCTAGACATTTTTCTAGGAATTATCATATTTTTACATTAATTTTTCGAGACACTTTATCGATACGCGTTTTATACATAGCCGGTATTAGTTTGGACATCACCGCTCATTATTATTACTCCAAACTTGATATCTTAGACCTAGATATTTTTCTAGGAATATTTATGTTTTTATTATAATTTTTTAGAATACTTCACCGGTACGCATTTATAACATGAAGCAGAACTGGTATCCGCATTTTTCCTCATAAAAGAGATTTAAGCGCTATTTGACCTTCTCGATAATTATTCTAATCTTTCTATATTTATCCAAAGTTAATTATGAAATTATTTCTTAAACTCATAATTAAATTATTTAAATTCCTAATTTAATGGTGCAGGTTCTTACACTCACCCCACATTTGCATAGATTTATTTAAGGTAGGTGTGTTTTTGAGCTTTGAGCCTAAATTTAGGGTTTTTATCTATCTCCTTATTATTCATTAGTTATTTTACTCTTAAATAATTTCTAAGGCATTGTTAAAATATTTGTGATGCTCAAATTTGGCTAAAATCTAGCTCATTTGCTTAGTTGGAGTCATTGGAAGTGCTTTAGTTAGTTCCTCAAAATTGTGAGTGGATGATAATTATGATAACATGTTTTATCCTTATTATTATTTTTCAAGTTTTATTATATCATTATTGCCTGATAACATATGCCTGGGGAAACAAATATTTTATAATGTGATTGGTCAAAGTTATGCATTTTAAATTTACATGATATGGATTTTCATGTAATATTATTGTATTTATGATTTGTGACATTTATAATTATTTTATAAAAATTGAGTATAATTTTAGTATGAAATATTTGATTTTAAAAAAATGAGATTTAAGAATAGTGTGGGGATAACAGTCTAGATGTACCTAGTTGTATATGGATATTTATTCAAGGAGGAAAGGGATAACAATTAGATGGAGTCGCTCTGAGAGATAGGCCACCTCTTGGAGGAGAGGGCTATTTGTGAGATGAAGTCATCCCTGATGAGATGTTACGATATGATTTGACTTGAGAAAGGAGAGAGTTGCCCGTTAGATGGAGTTGCCCCTAAGGGGAAGGCCACTCTTAGGAGGATAGGACTATCAGCGAGGTGGAGCTGCCATTGCTTGATTATGACAATGTGTGACCCCATCATATTAAACTTATAATTTTATGTTTCTTTGTAAATGTTCATTACATTATTCTAAAATTTATCCATTTCTTATTCACATATCATATGTACTTTGTTGATTTCATATACATTATTTACTTTCGTTGAAAAATATGTTTATGGCTAAGTTGTTAAAAGAAAAAAGTACTAGTGCGTATCTTGTTCCCCTTCTTGTTCATTGTAATTATTATGCTCTTATTGACTCAGTATGACTTAGCCGTATTTTATTTTACCATCCATATCACCAAGCAGTTGAGTAGCAGACTGCTAGAAGTTGCATATCTTTCCATAACATATTTTAGTAGCCTTTTTTTTGTATAGGATGTCATTACGCTCCTTTATATTTTGAATATTTTTGCATGTTTACTTTCTATATTTCATTATACACATATAGGGAAATAGGTTTTTCCTATTGCAAGAGAAACTCATCCTCTTCTGCAAATACAAAAATATATCCGATTAGCTTCTTTTTTTTTAAAGAAAAAATTGATGGATCCCATATATTTTTGTTTTAGGAGGAGGGTTATAAGTTTTTCCTAGGAGAAACTTATAACCCATAAATATATCATGCAAGTGTTTCTAATTTAATAACTCAAATGTCATGCATACTTTGGTTTGGAGGCTTTTGTTCATACAGCATTACAAAAAGAGTATTTACCATACGCCTGCAATTTCAAAATTATAGAACTCAATTAAAACCCGAAAGAGACTTCCATTACACTAGGTCCAGTAAAATAAATTAAAAAGCATTTACAACTACGAAATAAAAAAGGAAGAAATAAAACTACAATTGTTGCCGTTCTTCATTTAAGCACAAGTTACGATACAAAGAAAGGCAGGGCTACCAAAGATTGTCCACTTGAATAGAATTGCCTCCCATAAAATATACCTATAGTTTATTCAAAAAAAAAAAAAAAAGACAGGGCTCTTTGTATTAGTCATCCTTGATTTTGGAAGTGATACAAATAAAATGATGCACACAAGCTATAAGAAAAACAAAAAAATTCCCCAATTAATGGTATACATAAACGTAATGGGAAGGTAATGAGTACTAAATAAGAAGATTAAACAAAAAAATAAAAATCATTTGCATGACTATACGATTACATCACCTCATCTGACATGAATCCTTTAGAGTTTAATCCATTAAAATCCCACTACAAACCAACTAGTCCTGCTTATTACGAGCAGCCCTTGCACGATGTCGTAGTTCAGCTCTTTTCCACCTAACAATTAAGTAACATAAGGAGAGCAGTGTATTGATCTGCAGAAGCAAATAAGATACTTCAAGTCAATATTCAATATGAAAAGAAGATCAGCACCAGAATAGTAATGAGATGAAAAATACTAACCAAGATTATCATAGCAATGACAAGAAGAGGTCCAGACCAAAGAACTGACATAAATAGTCCACTTGTATCAAAATAGTTTTGACCAGAAAAGCTTTTCCAATTCTTCCCCAAAACATCATTTAGCCTCTCAGCAAGATATACACCAGCTACTGCAACAAAACAATTTCTAGTTAAGCTACATTAATTGTATAACTAAAAGAAAAGAACTTCAAGAATATGTGCAAGATTTCAAGCATTGGAGATGAAAAATAATAATAACAGTTGACATGTGTGCATAGCAGAGGAATGGGGATTATAAACAGTTCACATGATATAGAAAATTAGAAATCACACATGATAAAGTAGAAGATATTGAGATGTTTAAATGAGAAACAAATAGTTATAGAAAAATGCACTGGTTATCATAAAAATTTAATGACTCAAGCCACATAATCTTCATAAACCTTCAACACTTCCTATAATTTGACATTCAGTTTTTACCTCAGATATAGCTCATGCAATTAATTCAAATTCCAAGAATGGCAACTCTTAATTAGGACTTATGTCAATATTATTAACTTCTTAAGCTCAAAATCTACCTGTCCTTTTAATTCCATGGTAAATCAAGTATTGCTACTTGTGGTGGAATTGCACAGCATGGGAATGAACTAGTTACACTGTTAGACCACATTATTCTGTGTGCCATGTCCCCAAATCATAATTTCAAGGCAGAAGTACACCCGTCAAGAATAACCTTAATATGTTCAAACACAAATGCCATATTCCTGAATAAATTATACCTACTTTCCATCACCTTGAATGTATTTAGTTTGGGTTTTCAATTTAGTGGATTAAAAGTATATTTCGTACCTCCCTAATCCATTGCCTAATCAGCGGCTAAGTTCATCCATCCTAAAAATTCTCATTTTAAAAGAATTCTTGACACAAATGATATTGAGAATTTTTCAGTCATCTAAAACTCTTCACTGTCCAAAACAATATATAGTTTCAGCAAGCTAAAATGATGGATCTTCACTCATGACAATTTAGGGATTGTTTGGGAGTTACTCTTAGGAGGGAAAGGGAAGGAAGGAAAAGGTTTTACTTATGTCTTCCCCTTATTTGTGAATTTAAAAAAATGGGAGAAGGGAATTGGGAATTTTTGTAAAACCCTCCAAAACCCTTCTCACCCTTAAAATCAAAATTCCCCCAATTTGGGGGGTTTGACGAGAAAATATTACAAATTACTTATCTTCCCTTACATTAAAATCAAAACTCTCTCTGTATCCAATTTCCTCTCTCTCTATTCAACTAACATTAATTTTTTTTAAAAGGGTAAAATTGTAAAAATATCTCATTAACCCTCCATTTTTATCCCTTATCATATTTTTAACTCTCAAACAAGGGGAAAAGAATACATTTCATTTTCCCTCCCATCCTTTCTTCTTGAATCCTCTTCCTTCTCTTCTTCTCCAAACTCCCAAACACACCCTTAAGGTACGTTTGCAATTGTAAAAGCATAACAAGAAAAAAGAATTTGCATTTCTGAAGCCCAAAGTACAATAATAGAATAGAGGATAGTATTTCTTTCAATTTTCTTTTTTTCCCTGTATTCCTTTTTATTTTTTTTATTTCTTACTTTCTTATTCTTTATTGTCCTCCTATATATCTTTATTTTTATTTTATTTCAATTTATTTTTCCTTTTAATTGTCTACTGCTTTTTTATGGATAATGTTATATGTATAAGTATATTATACACTTTTAGATTTTATTTTTATCTTTTTCTCAAACTTTTCATACTTTTTATTTGTGTTCATCTACCACCAACCTCAACCAGTTTGAGATAAAGGTGTTGTTGATGTTATTAACATCATTTATGACTGACATTTCATCCCAGGCAGGAGAGAAAAGGCAAGGAAGAAAGTTTATTATCATGGAGGAAAACAACAACTTCAATCAGGAACGAAGACAGCTACATCAAAAGTAATATAACAGCTCTAATGAAGATTAAAAAAATCAAAGGGAATGCCGACATACACGTCAAAAGGAACAAGCACATCTGAAAGTTGGTGTTCTTCCTTGAGATGATAACTACAAGCAGAAACATAACATGGAAGGCTAATAATCCCATTAGCCAAGGTTCCTGAAACAAAGGAGAAAGGCAATAGTAGTATGTCCAAAGGGTGCTAATCATCAGAAAGTTCAGAGAAAGACAAAATGATAAAGATTGAAATTGAATAATATGAGAACAGAAAACACTGAAAGTAATAAGTCACAAAACCATATTATTTATCTAGATGTTATATACAAAGTAAACAGAGATACATGACATATGGATTGCAAATCTCATGAGGACAATATTTATGCCTAGACCAAACATTAATTCTCTTCCATTGACCTTTTTTCCATTAAATTGGCAAGAATATGTCATAACTTATTGTATTTTTTATAACCTTTGATAGCATGGTAGATCCAAAGGTTTGCTATGTGCAACATTCTCCAGGCAGAAATCTGTAAGACAATCAGCATTCTAATGGCAAAAGAGGGTCACTGGTTATGCCAAATTGCCTTCCAAACAATAAATAATCCAACCACCCTCCTCTTCACCACATTCAAACTAAACAGAAAATTTGAACTTTTTTGTTAAACAAAAATCTCATAAGATCATCAACAGTAATTTTACTATTCAAATGTAATAAAAACCAAAACGTATAATGAAATTTCATATGATTTTATCGCCTATTACTGAGATCTTTCTCCTCCTATCTCCAATGTTACGGATCCAAGAAAATGGAATTAACGCAGCACAAACAAGTAATGAACATCACAACAATAACAAATTTCAGCCAAAAAAAAAAATGCAAAAACAAAAGCCGGAAACTTTCACCATTTTTTTCCACTTCAAGTTTGGTTCTACTTATTTCTCACCTACCGAAATAAAAATAAATTAAAAACACCCGAATAATCAAGCCCCCAAAAAAAAGTGAGAAGAGAAAAACAAAGGTAAAGAAATGGAGGGGCACCTTCCAATCAATGGCATGGAAAAAACCCATAAAGTTTTCATAAGCAGGGTGAAGGCCAGCCCGAAGCTCCGAAGAGAACTTCTGAACAAGATCTGCCATAAGCTCCATGTGCTCCTCCATGGCAGATTTCAGCTCTTCCATGCGCACTGTTAACAAAGAAACTACACAAAGTGCAGTGCATGAGATTCAACTGTGTCTAGAAAAACCTTCAGCACCCGCAGCTGTTTTTCTTCATCTGCGTCTGGCCTGTTCGTCAAACCCAAATGGTTTGTTTAATTTTTTGGAACGGCCCTAATGGCCCATTTATTGGGTTGGGCCAAGGCCATTCACTGCAATAAACACACGCATATTGGGTGACTTTTGAATTTATAATAATAATAATAATAATAAAAGAATTAATTTTTCATATTATATGAGATAATTTTATCTATATATCAATATTGTCAAAATCGAGTTTTTACATAAAGTTTTTATTACTTAAGGCATATATATATTTATTTTTTTGAATATTACAGGAATCGAACTTTCAAACTAATACACACTACACACACCCAACACCACTAGGCTAATCAATGTGTGTGAATTTTTTTACATAAGTCACTACTCAAAATTCAATGAACAACTTTAAATTTAAAAAATATAAATCACATATCTATATAAAATATAAGTCTAAAAACAAAAGTTTAACAACTCTTTAGTGGCGGACCCAAGAAGTTTTTTTTATGTCTGCACACTTAGGGGCGGGGGTTCGGAGTCGGCCCCGAAATTTTTTTGTAAAGATCATGATCCAATTTTTGCTTCCACTCCAAAAGTAAAGCTTTGGCGAATAAACCAAAATTTTAAAGAAATAGATAATGATACTTAATAAAAAATAAACACCACAAAAAGACATTTGTAAAATATAATATAATTGTAGGGTTAATCAATCAAAAACCATCTCTGTTTATGTCAATCAATCAAAAAGTAACTGCGAGGGACCACGATTTCAACTAAATGGGTCGGTCCACTTTGAATTTGTTAGGGACCTCGAGATTAATATTTTTTTTTTAATACAAGAGATTAATTTTTTTGTAAGTGACTAAAGTGAGATTATATTTTTTATTAGGGATCAAAAAAGATATTTTTTTTTTTTGTATAAAGGATATTTACTTTTTTTTTTACTTGACCACCCACCCATGAAAAAAAAATTCTCTAACTTTATGTCTGCAATTGCAGACACTTGCAACCAAGCAAGTTCGTTGCAACTATTATAACCAAGTTCCAAAATAGAAAATGAGCAAATAAATTTAAGTAACCCCCCCCCAGGTCATGATTAACAACAAATGTAATGGTAGTGCGTAACTATGCCACAAATAAATGTAGAAATTTTGTCGCTTAGTCCAAAAACATAACAAATTAATATGCCAGAGAACTAGTTAAATAATTGATATTCATTTGTTCTTGCCCTGGCAAAAACATTTGTATGCTCTTAGTTTACATAAATTGTATATATTAAATTAGTACATCATTATTTTAAAAGTAACATAGCCATTTCATTTGACACTAACATTTATATATATATATATATATATATATATATATATTTTTGGTAAACACATTTATATATATTTCTAATATGAAACAATAATGTATAAATTATAATTTTTATATTTGTCTAGAATAAATTTTTGTAAGAATTAATCCCTTGCAAGAACTGGTGAGATTTTCCAGGCTTTTTAGGAATTGATAAAATTATATTTCATTGAAGCTAATTTTTTTGAGGAAGGTTATACTTACAACTTATTTTTGTTTATAACCTTTTACAACCATAATCTTAACCGTTGATTTTCGTCAATCAACGTTTATTATTTTCGCGAATTAAATTTATTAATTAATTATTAATTCACAATAAATGATAACCGTTGATTGACAGAAATCAACAGTTAAGATTATGATTGTAAAAAGTTGTAAATAAAAATAAGTTGTGTACCGTTGGGGTCTATAAGCCTACTGTGTTCCCTTCAGGGATGAGTCACTGTATGGATAATACCCTTAGCACAGGTACATACCAAGCTAAGAGGTACTTTGCCAAGTATAAGCCAGCAATCAACAATGGATAAGTAAGTGATAATATGACTCAAAGTAAATGGGCAGAATAACGATACATAAGATAACTTCATGGTGTGCCCATGGGGCTATTTATAAGGGAGGGTGGTGTGCACCTGGTGTGGGTTGGTGAGAAGGGAGGGATTCACTATCGGTGGCAGTGTTGGGCGTGGCAGGCGCTGCTGTAGTAGCAGCGCTGCACCCTCTGTACCTGGTGGTGTCAGCGTGGGGCAAAAAGGGCAGTTTCCCCTTATGGCATCTGGGGCGACTGCCTTTGGGGGTTATGGTCCCAAGGTAGGACATTTTGGTGCTTCCTCTTGGGAGAGTCGCCTTGTTGGGAGTTGGGGTATCACCCCAGCTGGTAGGGCTGACGTGGATGTTCGGTTAAGGTTGGGCCCTGACCTTTGGGCTACAGAGTTATTGGGCCATCCAGAACAGCAGCCCCCCCAGCTTGGTAGCGAGTGTAGGTTGGTGCCAAGGTAGATAGGCCTCGACGACGCCTTGTTTGGCGATATGAAATTTACTGGGCGTGGGGAGGGTTCCTCTTGACGACTGTAGCGAGTTCTTGGAGTTTGGCGTTGCCTTCTTGGCGATCCGAGCGGTTTCCTTGGCGTGGGTAGGTTTTGAAAGTAAATTGACCTTGAAGGTCGAGGCATGTGATAGGGAAAAACAAAAATTTTCGCTAGCGGAACACACATGCACATTAAGATACGTGCTTTAAGACATATATTATACCATGTTCGTGAAACTTCAGGATGATCAAGGTCAGGTCTGAAGGGTTCAAACCCTCTAACGTTGATCCACACCACCCGCGTCTAGATGCAAGAACTCCTTCTTGTAGAACCACCAATTGATCACCACAATGAGGCTTGCTATGCGCTCAATGTATGAAAGAGGAGGCTAGGCAAATGTGTTTAGAAGAGTGATGTTTTCAGAGAGAAAACCTCACAAGGTGGCGCATGGAAGGAGGAGAGAATGGCAAGGTCTTTTCTCAAAAACCCTAAGGAGGAACACACTTGTATATTGCACAAGAGAGTGAGGGAATAAATAAGTGAAATCAGATTTTTCACTTCAAAATCCCATGAAAGTGGCGCACAACAAATGAGGAGATAAAGGAGTTGTTGCAATTCAAAACTCCCAACAACCTCTACGTTTGAGTAGTTGCATTCAAACTTGAATCAACTCACTCAAATATTCTCCCAACAGACCGTATCTTTTGGAGCTGATTTTGATGACTAAATGACACTCACCAACAGCCAAAATCAGCGCCCTAATCTTCTTGGATCATGTCCAAAAGATCTCCTCTTGATACTAGTGATTTGTTCCAACAAGATCTTATCTTATCCTTTTGTTATGAAACAACTTTTCATAGCCAATTCAAATTTGAATTCAAATATTTAAATTCGAATATTCAAACATTCAAATTCAAACTTTCAAACATTCAAATTCAAAATTCAAAATTCAAATTTCAAAATTCAAATTTCAAAATTCAAATTCAAATTTCAAATTTCAAATTTCAAATTTCAAATTCAAAATTCGAATTTCAAAATTCAAATTCAAAATTCCAATTTCAAAATTAAAATTCCAAATTTCAAAATTCAAAATTCAAAATTTAAATGTTTGATAATTAATTTAACCAATTAAATTAATTAGTAGTGTCTTGGACTATCCAAGCCCATTACTGTGATCCATGCGCCCTCCACCCTCAAGGTGGACTTCCAAACTACTTCTTGGACTAATGACCATTATTAGGCCCAATACCTTTAATGCTAGTTTATCTAGACAATTAGGTGTTAGCGTGTGTCCCATTAGGTCCAACATAGCCACTGACATAAATGGGTTTGGGCCCAATAAGCTCACAACTCATCTAATGACAACACATAGCACTAGCAATGTTTTGTTGCTCCAGAACTAGTTAGATTAATGACTTGATCATCCTATTACATGTAATAACCCAAAAATCATGTACTCGAAATTAGCCTAATGGAATGAAATGAAAAGGGATCAAGCCCATATTCAGTGAACGAATAACTTTGAATACGCAACATTAGTCCTAAGTTAGAACCCACTTTAAATAAGATAATTAATAACTTAGCCCAATGTGGTTTAAAGCCCAAATAAAGTTAAAGCCCAACCTACTTAAGAATGTGACTAAGTTAAAGGATTTAAGCCCAAAGCAATGCAAGCCCATTTTATAAGAAATGACCCAATTAGTATCTAAACAAAGATCCAAGCCCACACCACCTAGCCTTGACCCAATTACAAATGGTCCAACACTTATTAACTTAATGGGCCAAGACACTCACCAAGCCCAACCCAATTCAAGAATAAACCCTAGATGAGGTGGCAACACGTGATTGGACAATTTGAATGAAGATTTCACCCTCCTCACATGTCCACCTCGGTCTAGCAAAGAGAAAAAAGGGATGAGATTGCTTTTCCCACCTTAGGCGCTACACAAGACAAAGAAAGGTGATGCAAGAACTTGAGTAAGACACACTCCAACTCTAACCAATGCATGTGAACTCCTTTAGCCAAAAAGCAACTCTCATTTTCTCCTTACACACCTTGGAGGGCGCACTCATTACAAGAAAAGGAAGCTTTCTTCTTACACACTCAAGCCATGCATTCCATCTTACAAGGTCAAATCTTCCTCCTCCCTAGGCATACACGGTCACCAAGGGAAGTCACATGACCAAAGCTCCTCTCTCCTCACGGCCACATCACTCAAGGAGCCAAGAAACCCTAGTGCAAATTCACACTCAAACCCTCCTTGAATCATGTGCCTTTATCATGAATAGATTTGAATTAAAAATTAGGAAAATATCTTCCATCTTTCCCACAAGTCACGGCCATCAACTAAGGCAAGCAAGGAATTTTCTCTCTCACTCAAAAGACCAAACTAAGTCAAGTGCCAAGTGGAACACATGCATCACCTCTCATCCTTACACACTCGGCCATCAACAAAGAACAAGGAAAGATTGCTCAAACTCCACACCCAAACACCATTCACCACCAATACATGTAGATAACTTCCCCCACATTCACAAGTTACACTCAAGTACCCTTCACCCCAATGCATGTAGATAGCTTCCTCCACACTCACAAGTCATAACCTAATACCTCAAGGAAATGATTGC